AGAATCAGAAGTTAAACATTCAACTATTACGTTTTCATTGTTCTTCCAGATGTTCTCCAAAATGAAAGAAACTGCATGTTACTACCATGGAGATATTTTTCATTTTATCACATTTTTCTGGAATCTTTTAGAATCGTGGGTCTATAAATCTGCCTTGAAATCTTTCTAAGCTTTCCAAGCTTCAAAGTTTAATTTTATAGAGAAAACTGATGCATATTCTGAGAAATGGGAAAAATTCTTACCATGAAAAAATTAAAAAGACATTTTTAATTAATTATATAGCTATTTTGCTTTTGCTAAAAACTGTTTCGTAAACTGTGCTTTATAGCCTTATTCCTTGCTTATATTTCAGATTCAAAAAATTGTATAATATATGGGCAAAATGGAACTTTATAATATGACAGTGAAAAATAAAAATGCTTTATTTTAATGTTATTTCTTAAGCATAATTCCAATATATTACCATTACTTTAATGAAATTTATCAATGTTAGAATGAAAAAAAATTCCCAGATCTTGGAATTAAAAATTTTCTATAGAAACCGATCTTAAAATCACCAAAATGTTGATAATCGCCAAATTTAGAACCTTTAATAAAAGAATTAATATCCCCCAAAGCGGAAAGTTGTTTGAAAGTTCTTCATGACAAAAAATGAAATAATTTTGAAATGCATATGTTTCACTTCTTGCTCAGAAACTCGAGTAACCCACCATTATTTATATTACAAAAAGGAACAAATTATAACTCATGAACCCATTCAAAAAATAGCCATATTTGTCAGAGAATCACCAAAAATATTCCTGCAAAATGCTAATTCACACCCAAAATGGCAGTCGTAAAAACAGACAGAAATTTCAGATGATTAAAATTAAGGACCTTCTGCCGATTTTGGCCAAAATTATGGACTTTTTAAGGACCAAAAATCGATTCCAAAAAACTTAAGGACTCTTAAGGACCGTATGAACCCTGTGTAAGTAAAAATAGATCAATGTGGACATGGACAAAGTCAAAGTAGTGCGCAATGATAAGTTTGTGCAATTCCCTGATGTTTTTTAAGTGAAAATAGATCAATGTGTATATGGAAACCAAGTTTGTGCAATTTTGGCTTTGTGTAGCGGCCATTTCTTGCACATTGCTGGCCAATCGCCAATTTTCGAAAAGGGGCACTCTCGAATATATTTTTACCCAATTTTGTTTAAATGTTTCTTAAGGATATGTTAAACATGTGTAACAAAAGGTTAAGGTAACCAACCGCTAATGAGTTTTTAAACTTTTTTCTCCACAGAAAATAAATTTTCATGACCTCCTTTACACTATTACCAAGTTTGATAACATCTGGACCAGTAGTCTTCCTTTTATGACCATTTCAAAGTGGAACTTTAATTATAACCATGCTGCATATAACAAAAAATTGCCCCAATATCCCAGTAGTATCATTAGATAAGCTATGAATAAATGTGAATTAATCTATTTTCATTCTCCAATTACCATACCTGCCAACCTCTAAAGATAAAAATTCAGAAGGTTTCTCCTCCAAATTCAGAAGATTTCTCCAAAATTCAGAAGAACACAGAGAATTAATATCATGCTTTAATATTAAAAAAATAACAATTTATACAAATAAAAAAAAAAGAAAATTGTACTTACATTAGTAAATCTCAATTAAGTAGTAACTAAAAAATTTATTAGGAAACATAAAACAAGAACTTAATGTTACACAAAAAAATTATTGCAATGAATTTAGAGTGCATTTTTTGGCTTTAGCCAAAAATTCTTTGGAAAATTTCCTGTCATAACAATTAGTTTCCTCATAACATTTAGCAATTAAAATGTTTTCTAGAGTTTTTGGTGAAATTGAAGAACGAAACATAGTTTTGTTTTTCTTCACAACACTGAAGACTCTCTCGCACTCAGCATTACTGTGTGGAATTACGAGAATAGCACATAAAACTCTTGCTAGTCTATCATATTTTGGTGTTCCATCAGCTCTTTTTATTCTTTTTAAGGTACCAACGAGGACATCAAGTCTATCTTCTCCAGAACTGGCAAAGTCTTCAAACTGTGCAGCAGAAAATTGGTTCTGTAGTTCATCTAAAGCATCATTATGGCATTCATTTTCTTTAATTGTTAACAAAAATGGAAATTTATCAATAAAAAAAAAAACGAATCTTTTCAAAAGATGAATTTTCAATTTGTTTCAAATTTGCCACTTCAGCATTTAAAAGAACTTCATTTTGCAAAGGAAACTTCCTTACAATGTAATCACAGGCTGAGGAAAAGTACTTTCTAACACATTGAAAAAATTCTTTTTTCTCATGATCTTTCAAAGAATTTACAAGTTCCCTGGTTTGATTTCCAATTATAAGATCATTGTCATCCTTTTGATTTGCCAAACTATTATAGGCAACACGAATCAACACACACTGTTTTTCACAACGGACGGTTTTACAAACTTAGTATAAAGTTCTTTCAAAAGATCATTAAGAATTTGGATAAGCAGGGGAGATTTTGGCGAAGCTGATTGTAGAAGGGTATTTACACTTTCAAAAATCTTAATGGTACTTAACACAAAACTACAATATGCTTTGTTCAAATCCGAAGAAAGAAGATAGAAAATCCTTTCCTCCCGGCTAATAGAAGACTGTTTCTTCTTCCCTTCAACTTCTTTAACAAAGTTGACCTTTGAGGAGTCTTCTAAGCATTTTTTTTTTAAAGGGTTTGATTCTGTGTTTTGGCTTTTCCCTTTTAAAGCATTTTGATTAGAAGCAAAGTTGGTTTTCGGAATCTTATATGCCGACAAATTTGATGGGATCTGTGGTTTCGTTTTGGTCTCTTCGTGGAAATATTTTAGCAATGCATCCCACTGTTCAATAAACCTTCCTAGCGCTCTGCCTAAGGATAACCATCTCGTGCATACATGTTTCAGAATTTTTCTCGTTTCACCAGAGCACAGTTCTTGGAAATTCTTTAGGTTTTCTTTCCTTTTTACACTTTTTTCCAGATAGAAAAACACATCAATCAGAAGCTGGTCAATATTTAATGGTAAAGCAGCTGCAGCTTTTTCTGCTGCCAAATTAATTAAGTGGCATGGGCATCCAATAACAATTAATTCATTTTGTTCTTTTTTGAGGAAAGAGGCTACACCCTTTTTGTCACCCACCATGACATGAGCATTATCTGCACCAAATGAAATGCAGTTTGATATTGGGATGTTAAGTTGTTTCAACTCATTAATTACCAAGGAGGCAATATTTTCCCCCGTAGCGTCTCCATTTAACAATGGAAGACGCAAAAGATGAGTTTTCATTTCATTAGAAACATCACAGAAATATGTGACAACGATGGGGTAAAGCTTCCAATCGCTGTCGTTGCTGCCATCGATTGACACCGAAAATGCTGAATTCTGGAGTGCAGCTATCGTTCGTTTTACTTTGTGCATCGCAAGCAATTTCGTTCACAATAGAAGATGTTTTTGTGCGAGCACAAGCATATTTCTGAGCAATCTTGGAGTCGGGAAACATCCGTCTGAAAAGTTGACCGGCGTGATCGGCAGCGCTTAGCGGCACGTTGTGTTCGATGAGGAATGCAGTAAACAAACACTCTGCCAAAATGACATCGGCATCCGAATTCGTAGCCGAATTTGAAAAAAAATCATCCACTTTCTTTGACGTTGTCGAAGCCGAAGCATTAACTTCATGCTTTTTAGACTTAACATGCTTCACAATGTCGCTTCTTCCACCGTTTTATTATGAAGTCACACACGACACGTTGCAAAATGCATAGTTATTTCCTTTGAAGGATTCTTTAATTGTTGGAAATTCGGCTTTGTAGGCAGGCCGAAAAAATATTGAGAATACGGTTTTTTTTTAACTCATTTCGTAACAACAATGTATTAAGAAAATTCGTAGCACGTGCAAACAACAAAAAAAAAAAAAAAAAAAAAAAAAATGCGACAATCCATCGCTGAGTAATTCCCTTGCTGCTGAAGCAAACGCGAAAAAAATAATCTGGCGCCCACAAAGAAAAGAGTGGGAGAGAAAACAAGTTCAGCGCATTGGATTGGCTGGTTAAGCGGCGAGTTGGGAGAAACCGCAGGTTACTGGAAGTTCCGGTAGTTGGCGGTAAAACACGATGCAATTGGCGAAAATCGCTGAATTGGCGAAAAATTCTAAAATTTCGACAAAAATCACTAAAAACACTTGAAAAAAGGAAAAAAAATCGTAAAAAAATGGATTACGATCGTAAAATCGTAAAAGACAAACGCATTTTCGTAAAAATTACGAAAAATTCGTAAAAGTTGGCAGGTATGATTTTTAATGCACCAGATTAAAATGTATCTAATCGAAGATCGATAATCCGAATCGCCGAATTCCAACGATCCGGATTAAATTTTTGACTGTACCATTTATATTTTTTAAAGAATTTATTCTGTTATAAATGTTATAATTGTCTATGCTTAATAATTATTCTTTTCTGTTGCTAACTTGAATTTCATACAAATCTATTTTCGTATGTCATGTTTAACGGTTAGTTTTTTACATCTAATGCTTTTATCTGTGAATTTTTACTACCATTTGCTTAATATATTGTTTTGTCTGCTAACTTGAATTTACATGCACTAAAAATCATGTTTACGGCTCGGCTCATTGTCGATGAATTGCGAGCATGGCGAGTAAAAATACAATGGCGCCAACGGGTTCTCTGCAGATGAAAACCCTAGTAAATATATGCAAAATAAAAATTTAGTTTCAAAATGCTTTAAAAAATGTTATTTTCAATTAGTGCTTAAAATGGCAAGAAAAGCAAAGAAACATTTTAATCTGAACTGCTACATCATTTTAAAATATCAATTATATGTTATCTAATAAATATACAATTTTGGTACCTAGATATAAAAGAAAAAAGAGAACAGAATACTAAAACTTATGAATATTTTAATTCAAATTTATTTTGGTAACTAATTTAAGACACAAATGAATTAAGCCTAACAAATTTCTTACCATGAGTTTCGTTCACCAGTTTTCGGACATATTCATTATACAAAGAAGATTTAGGTATAATTTCGTGTATATACTGTGTATGGGGAATATCTGCAAAATTTAAATACGAAATAATTAAAATTTTTGTTTTAATAATTATAACTTGAAACATACAAAAAGAAATACAAAAATACCTTTCCTTTTTCCATTTCTTTCCACTCCATATGTTAAAAAACTATTTCTGGAGGAAAATGTTGCTTGTGCACCATGGGATAAAGTTTCATCATGTATTTCCTAAGACAAACACAAAACATTGTAGCGCTGTGAAGCTAAAACATGGATTGCTTAAATTAAATACTACGGTACGTAGAAACATGCGGAAACAGGTACTATTTAAGAGGGCAAATGAGTACATTAGAAAAAATACCAGATTTTTTAAGAAGGTTCTAATAAATAATAATTATTACCAAAATAGAAACTTCAGAACCTTCAACGTGATTTACCGCCATTGAAATTAAACGTGCATCTGTATTGCCAGATAAAAAAAAAAATTGGGGCCGCACGTAGTATTTAAAATATGGCTCAGCAGAACTGTTTATCAGGAAATATTTCAGAGATACAGTGAAACCTAACTGGCATAATGATCCCATTTCCAACATCTTTCCCTCAGAAATATTCGATTAAGAAAAAAGCAATTCATTCTTTATCTTTATTTAGGCTGAACACATTTCTGTGACATAAAAATGGCCCGAAGCGATAACACAACAAAAAATCAGGATAAAAGAAAGGTTTTAGAAAATGTTTCATGTCACAAACATGTTGAGCTTACCATTGTTCTGCATAAATAAAACCTATACCCGCGTATAAGTAGAGATATTTTGAACAAAGAAAAAGACTTCAAAGTGGGGGGGATCAACTTATACGCGGGGTCATAAAAAATTAAAAGAATCAGAAGTTCAAAAATTTCTTTATATAATGCGTTTGTTTTCTTCCCGAATTCAAATTGGACGTCTTATCAAATAAGTCACTTACTTGAAGTAATTTCATGACTTAAATTATGTGACGAACTAATCACAGAGTTTCATACTTTAACTAGAGTAAGTTTCGATTAAACCAAAGAATTTTCGGCCCCCGAACAAACGATCAATATCGAGCAATAAAAAAGTTTCGCTAACACACTATGAAAAGAGAAATGCAGATAGTTTTTACGTACGTATATAAGTCTTTATAATAGTTATTGTTCATTCATGAAATACTTTTGTTAACAGGCATACACGTCAAAATTTAAAAAAATAGCCCAGGCAATAACTGAACAGTTTTGAATATTTCTTTTAACTTTTAAAAAGGGAAAATGCTGATAGATTTTTCGTACGCGAATCTTTTCCAGAACAAATTCTAGAAGGTTACTATATACGATCATTTTTCTCCAATTATCCTGCGTTTTGGATTCCATAATTCCGGGAGGATTGACATCCGTCATTTAACCCCTAGATGTCTGCCTCAATAAGCCCTTCAAAGTAAATGTTAGAAAATATTGAGCAGAGTGGATTAGTTCCGGTCGACCAACATTTACAAAGGGAGCAACATTAAAACCCGATATTACATTAATTGCTCAGTGGGTTTTTAAAGATGCTTGGACGAAATACCCTCTGAAATGATTATAAAAATCATTTAAAAAATGTTGTATTAGCAACGAACTAGACGGCACGGAAGATGATGCTGTTTTTGAAAGTGAAAATACGACGAAGGCTCTAGTAGTGATTGTAACAATACAGAGTTCGAGACTGAATATGTATGATGAACGAGCCAATGACGACAAAGCTCTATGAATGTTTGGCGAATTTGACCATGATCGAGGTTGAAGAATTTTGATTTTGTTTATTTACCAAGGTATTTTTTTATTGTATATTTACTTTTTTACTCAGATATTGATAAATGTAGTGACTTCAAAAAAATTTTTCGAAGTTTCTCGATCGATTTCGGAAGTGGGGGGTCGACTTATACGCGCGTTGCTTATTTTCTACGAATTTTTTATGTCGAAGTGGGGGGGGGCTTGGACTTATACGCGGGTATATACGGTATATAAAAATTTTGATAAATTTAGAAGCGAACTACATTTTACCATGGCCGTATAATGGATATTTCTTTTTCAGAAAAATCTGGTGAAGACCATCGGTAAAACAAAATGAGTAGTGTAGACAAAATGAGGCGAAAGTATTAAGTCAAGTGGCCGCCATCAGTCGACGAATAAGGTGAGTTTCTGGTGTAAGGTCCAAATCAATGAATTGAAGAGTCTCGTATTAGTAAAAAAAAAATGTTAAGGATGGAGAATGTCAGACGGACATTTGCGTTTTTCTCTGGGAAATGAAGAACATCTAAGAGAGTTTGCAGTTGCTAAGATGAGTGAGAATAGAATAGAAGAAATTTGTGGCAAGTTTTTGGCACTCTCGGAAATAAAATTTTGAATTGTGTCTACTTTGAGATCACGGTGGATATGCGCATTTGGAATGAACCATGGCGAGTTGATAATCTCTCTAAGGGCTTTGTTTTGAAGAACTTGTATATGTTGAAAGTGAGTTTTGGCAGCGTGGCCCTAGATAAGACTAGCATAGAGTAATGTTGGTCGCAGTACAGATTTATATAAGAGTAGTTTATTTGAAGTGGACATATAACTTCGTCTGCCAAGAAGTGGGAGCATAGTTGCAAGCATGATATTAATATTTTGTACAGTGTCCTTGAAATGATTCTAAAAAGTCAATTTTTTATCTAGAATGCCTCCTAGATATCTGACTTCATCAACCAGTCAGTTTCTTCATAAAACAAAAGCGGTCTTGGTGGTGTGTATCATAAGTATAAATATTATATAAATATAGTGAAAGTACTGATTCCTGGGGTACTCCAAAGAGGATGCTGCTCATGGTAGCCCACGAAAAACTCGATGGACTTCGCTTTGTAGAGAGCAGAGTCCTATGGCTTTTACATGAGTTATATTTTGTATCTGAGCTTCTTGTAATTTTCTAATAATTTCAACAATTTAAATTTTGTGACCTTTTTTCCTCTTATAAAAAAGCGTAAGAGAATTGATATATGTGCCTGACCGAAAAAAAAAATTGCATTCAAAAAAACAAATTCTTTGGATTATGCTACTATTTTGAAACTTCTCAACTCAATATTGTTTTCATTCATGAGATACACGCTGTACGGTTTTAAGAAGGTTATTTCTATATAAGCCTCTTTTCGTAATAAATTTCGACTTAATTTTTCCTATCCAATTCCGTAATAAATACACCAAATCATGGCACTTGAAGAGGGTGATTCAACAACCGTTGTCATTTCTGCGAAACCAGATAGGAAAATATTTAGACCTAAGCGAAAGATGGTTTCAGGTGTCCCATGTGAAATATCAGAAGATCCAGCTCTGTTGAAAGCTATCAGTATTCTCCCTAAAAATTATAATTTTGAAATTCCGAAAACTATTTGGAGAATTAAAAAGTGCGAAGCAAAACGTATTGTTCTCCAATTTCCCGAAGGTCTTCAAATATTTTCTTTAACAATAGCAGATATATTGCAACATTTCACTGGTGTATATCCTATGATATTGGGAGATGTTACATATGGCGCTTGTTGCATTGACGATATTACTGCTACTGCCTTGAAAGCTGATTTAATGGTTCATTATGGACATAGTTGTTTAATTCCGGTTAATGTGACGAGTAATCTAAATATGCTTTATGTGTTTGTAGATATAAAAATAGATACTCTGCATATCATAAATACAATCCAAGAGAATTTTGATCCAAAAGTAACTCTGGCTTTATTAAGCACAATACAGTTTGTCTCAACCCTTCAACATGTTGCGTCTGACCTACGGAGTTTGGGTTATGATATTGAAATTCCTCAGTGCAAGCCCTTATCACCAGGTGAAATTTTAGGATGTACTTCTCCCAAAATACAAAACGCAAGATCTGTCATCTTTATTGGAGATGGGCGATTTCATTTAGAATCTGCTATGATTGCTAATCCGACTTTGACATTTTACAGGTAAAACTCTAGTATTTTAATGCATTTAAAAGCTGTAAAAGTCTTAACTCTTGCTGTACTAAAAATGTAAACTTTTTAGGTTAGGTTATTTCATTACGACAAAGTCTCGAGGGCTATCTGCCTAAGGGGAGGGATGCCTTCGTGGAGGACTTTCTAAGGGGAACTGGCTCGTATACACGTTACACATGGGGAAAACCACGAAAACACCCATGCAGCTAGCCCGATCGTGGGATTCGAACCTCGGACCGAACTACCAGTGTTCAGCGACTTTACCGCTCGGTCGCTGGTGGGTCCTGTAAACTTTTTAAATTGGATAGTTTTTAGTTTTCAAAAGATAGGCTGAAAAGTAAATTAGGAGTTTCTTAAGTGAATTTTGAGAAGTAAAAACTACCGCAAAAAAAAAAAAAAAAAAAACATGGGCCAACGGTGCATATTTTACCAATGGTTTTAGTTGTAATGGCTGTTGTTTGGCAGATTTAAAAAAATATTCAGCATAAAATACATGATAATAAGGCTCTTTCAGTCAAATATAGCTTATTAAACATGGTATTTATTGTACATGAATTAAATCTTGAGGAAGAATATGACATTAAGCATGTAGAAGTTGGTGAAAGAAATTTTATTGTTAAACAGAAAAAAAAAAAAAAAAAAAAAAGGTGCTAAAAATAAAATTACAGAAAAAGGCAAGAAATTAAGTAAAAGTATATTTTAGGGTACCCCTTGGTGAAACTTTGCGGCACATGGATACTGAGTTTGTGCAATTCTTTGGCTTATTATTTTGGCTTGCATAACAGTGATTTTTGCATCAAAAATTGCCACTACACAAAGCCAAAGTAACAAGACAAAGAATTGCACAAACTCAGTATCCATGTACACATCGATCTGTTTTCACTTAAAAAAAAAAAAAAATTCCCAAATTGCACAAAAATGGCATTGCACACTCCCTTGACTTTATCCGTGTACACGTCGACCTATTTTTCACTTAAAAAAAAATCCAAGAATTGCACAAACTTGCATTGCGTACTCTCTTCACTTTGTCCATGTACCTGATCGATATATTTTCACTGAAAAAGTCAAAGGAGCACCCAATTCTACAATACAGGCAAACAAAAAATCCATAATCTCAATAAACTACATTTTAAACCAAACAATAGAATAACATAAAACAGGAAAAACATGTTATACATTTAAGCGCTACAAAGAGCAAATATCCACTTACCCTATTTAGAAGTTCCTTCGTCTTTAGTCTGTGGCAAACAAAATTCCTTAACAGCATCTAAAAATTCCTAAAATTATCTGAACTCAAATTCGTATATCGGCATCGCTACATCTAAACCTTTTTTCCTACAAACCCATTCAAATCCATCTAAATGTTTTTTACGTTTGACTAGATGTATATCCTTCCTACATACAGGACACTTATATAATGGCTACTAAGTAAACCTTCATTTACACACCATTCAATTAACGCTGTTTTCCCCTTTCGTTCCAAACCGTACAGAAACTTCAAATTAATCCTACTACATTCAGCCATTCTACCGTCTAAACAATAAAACCAACACACACCACAAAAGCGCTTACAAAACATCCCATGGTTCAAAATTTCCCAGAATCATGCACCCAATTACCTCACAATAGGGTTTCCATAACATTCAACTACTTAGGCTATCATAAATGAAACAACAACTTCGTCATAATACAAGGGGTATCTTAAAGTCTTACTCTAACCAAGTATATTTACAGTTACCCATTGGCGATTTTTGGCAGTACGTGGATACCCAGTTTGTGCAATTCTTCGACTTATTATTTTGACTTGTGTAAAAATCGCCGCTACACAAAGTCAAAATAACAAGACAAAGAATTGTACAAACTCGGTATCAATGTACACATCGATCTATTTTCACTTAAAAAAAACATCCCGGAATTGCACAAACTTGGCATTGTACACTCCCTTGACTTTATCCATGTACACATTAACCTATTTTCACTTTAAAAAAATCAGAATTAGAGAATTGCACAAACTAGGCAGTATGCACTCCCTTGACTTTGTCTTTGTACACATCAAACTGTATTCACTTAAAAAGTCAAAGGAGAAGCCAAAACAAAAAAATATATAATCTCAATAAATTACATTTTAAATCAAACAATGAAATAACATAAATAATGAATAATTCATCTTTGCACTACACAAAGGAAACATCCATTTACCTTATTTAGGAATTAACACGTCATCAGTCAAACAAAATTCCTTAATAGCATCTAAAAATTTCTTAAAATTATCTGAACTAGAATCTGTGTACTGAAGTTGCCACATAAATTCACAAAGAGTCAAAAATATCCTCCGACGTTTGATTATACGCATTCCCTTCCTACAAACAGGTACACTTATAATGGCTACTAAGTAAACCTTCATTTACATACCATTCAATTAATGCTTATTTTACCCTTAAGTTTCCAAATCGTACAGAAACTTCAAATTAATCTTATCACATTCAGCCATTTTACCATTTAAGCCAGAAAACAAGCAATGTACTTCCTAACTAACACACACAACAAGCCCTTACAAATTCACCACAATCATGCAACTGATTGAATCATAATAGTGTTTCCATAACATTCAATTACTCAGGCTACCATAAATAAACCAGCACTTGGTGATAAATGAAACAACAACTTTGCAATAATACAAGGCATACCCTTCTCTCTATTCTAACCGAAACTAATCATACGCAAGTCGAATTTACAAGCTTCGTATGCTCCTTAGGTTTTTTTTTTTTTTTTTTTTTTTTTTGAGATGAGTTTTGACTTTTAAAAGTCTTTAATTTTAACCAAAATCAGTTACAAAAATTAAGGTGCTCAGACCTTTAATTTTACTCATCCAAGATTTCTGTTTTTTACGATCGCAACTTTGAGTGTGAAGTAGCATTTTGGAGGAATATTTTTTGGTAGTTCATTAACAAATATGTATTTGAGAAGTAATCATTTAAATGTTTGGAACTACTTGTATATGCGCCCTCAGGTCGCCAAATTTCTCACCAAACATTTTTGGCAAGAAACTCCACGCCGCCATATACCTAAATTTTTTGTCTACGTTTCGAATTTAAAGCCTAAAATGTCTCCAAAAATGCGGTTTTCGCACATGCAAAAACCAGATTTTAAAGACACAATTTGAGCTAAAAATCCAAAACAAAAACAAAAAATTTAGATAGCAAAAATGTAAAGTTTCTAACCAAAAATATTTGACAAGAATCCATGTACTCAGCGATACGTTTTAACTTAAAAAAACATCTACAAATTGCACATTCTAGGCAGCTAAGGAATCTATGAACTATGCACATCTCATTTCAATAAATTAACATAGCAACAATAAATTTCAAAGAATACCATGTACACAGCATTCTGTTTAAACTTTAAAAAAAATCTACGAATTGCACAATCTAGGCATTGCACACAAATCAAGCAAATAAACTAAACTAAATTACAGACAATTCCAAAAATGACAATAACAACAAATTCATGTAAAAAAACAATGAACATAACATTCTACAAAATAAAAACAGTAAAATAAAATGCACTTACCATAATACATTCCTGAATAAAATTTCGCCAGTCGAACAACGTCCCTGAACAAAAGTGTCATGATTTTGCTATATCACATGTCTTTCTGAGATTAAAAATTTTGAAAGTAACAATAAAATCTTCCACCAAAGTTAGCATACTACACGAGAACCACAATCCAAATCTTAACCTCCACTGACAGCTACATACTTTACCAGCAACCATTTGACTGCAAATCCACACAAAAACCATCAGAAACGTCCTTCTTCGTCCGAGTTCTCATAGCAGCTCCGTATTTCGAACTCCGTTTTAAACTCCCACAGAAATTCCAAAAATACACTTCACTCATGAACAAAAGACCCAACATCATACCTTTTAATACTAAATTTACTTTCCACACATTCTAAAATATGAGACTGAAATCTTGCCACCACATCTATCATTGCAACATAGGCCATTTTAAAACACGCATGACACGAACCAACGAGCAATTAAACCACTCTAGCAAAAGATTTTCTCTATGTCAACAGGTCTGCCATACAATACATAATCGTGCCAAACCCAGCGCAGAACATGCATCACCACGTTTGGTGATATTAGGGTGTATATAAGAGTTGAGCCAAATGTTTTCCTACTTCTAATATAAAGACCACAATACTTGAGTTTCTAGGCGAGAAGCGAAATTTAAGCATTTTGAAATTATTCCTATCAAAAACAACTTGGTTAACGTATATTTTAGAGTGTGCCCCTTGGATTATCGCCAAGTTATTGCTTCATTTATTGCCAAATTGTTGTTTCATTTATGTTAACCTGAGTAGTTGAATGTTATGGAAACTCTATTATGACGTGACTGTTGTGAATTTGACTAATGGGAAAATATTTGTTAGGACTTATTTAAGTGTTAGATGTTGGTTACTAAATATATTGCTTATTTTGTGCTTTACGTGGTAAAATGGCTGTATGTGATAAGATTAATTTGAAGTTTCTGTACGATTTGGAATGAAAGGGAAAACAAAACCATTGATTGACTGGTGTGTAAATGAAGGTTTACTTAGTAGCTGTTTGTATGAATGAAATGCGTATGGTTGACCGTAAAGATTGTTCAGATGGCTTGAATGCGTTTGTCACAAGGAAGGCTTAAATGCTCACCCTATAAAGCATTCCATTAGAAAAGGAACATGGTTTGAGGAAAGTTTTGGATGCAGTTAAGGAATTTTGTGTGCCACAGATTGAAGACTCAGAAATTTCTAAATAAGGTAAGTGGATATTTCCTTTGTGTAGTACGTATGTTATTTCATTGTTTGATTTAAAATGCAGTTTATTGAGATTATATATTTTTTGTTTGGCTGTAGCGTAGAATTGGGTGCTCCTTGATTTTTTAAGTAAAAATAGATCAATGTATACACAGCCAAAGTCAAGTCAGTGCGCAGTGCTGAGTTTGTGCAATTCTCTGATTTTTTTTAAGTGAAAATAGATCGATGTATACATGGACACCGAGTCTGTGCAATTTTTTAACTTGTTATTTTGATTTGGTTTCATGGCCATCTTAAAATTGTGCCTTGCTGGGGCTGATCTTGTCGTCAAAAAAGAATCTCTGAAAAAACATGGGGCACCCAATTGTAAACTTTTACCTTTTGTTTCAATTATGTTTTATTGCATTATGTTTTAGAAACCATTTTACTAGAGAAGGTCTTGGATGTAAACAATAATCATACCAAAAAATCGGCAATTTTCGCCAAGGGCACCCTGAAATATATTTTTACCAACAACTTTTCCCTTTTCTTTCAAAATTAAGATTTTCAAAAATTCTTTCAAATGACAAAATTTGGGAGGTTCTCAACATTTCTGTGATTTTAAGATAAATTCATATACAGTCAAAAGTCTTTAATCCGGACTCGTCGGAACTTCGGCGATTCCGGATTATCAATTTTTCCGGATTATAGATCATCAGTTTAAATCTGGTAAGATGGCATGCAGAATGAGCAATTATGATCTAAAGGGTATCAAAATTTACCAAAAAAGAAGCCTAATATTTATTTGTTTACTTTATTAAACATTTCTTTCAACGCGCGGATGCGTAAAGCATACCTTACGCATAGCCGAAATTAGAAAATTGCAACCAGAAAACTATTTGATTTGTATTCGTGGTATTTATAATGACGAGGAATTTGATTTAAATCATATCAAAGACGGAGTACATCGAAATTAAATACTACATTTAGTAAGGAATTATAAGCCGAATAAAATAAAAACATCTGCTCTGAAGATAACGATAGTGTTGACAAATCAACTTCCAGTTCATTTCGCGCTGCGCCGTCATTGGGGGAAATTAATGTAGTAAATTACTGTACTCGGAAAACATAGCGAATGCACAGAAATTAAAGATTTATGTATGCCGAAAATTAAAAAGTATTAAATATATCCATATCTTTGTAAAAAGCATGCATTTGCCTTCAACAAACTATGTAAATATTTATTAAATTATTTATAGATGTATTCAGGAGTGAAGTATTTATTCATTCAAACTGCTGTGAATGTTACTCAGAAGAAATCTAGTTATTAACTGCTTGCCTGATTATCCCGAGTTATCTCGGGTTTGTATATATTGCAGTTAATTATTATCCCATGAAAACTCAGGCGAAGTAGAATTTGTTAATACGATTTGTTTTATCACAGTTTTACTCGGCCTGCAGGAAATGAAAGGAAATATTCAGCTTTGATTGGCAGTTTGCCAAATTTTGTTTGTTGCACAGTTCTTTGGGAGGAATTGGTAAGTTTCGCTATTGTATAGCATACGTTAGCATGTGGATTAGTAATGTATAAAGAAGGATACATGCGTTAAAAAAAAATAATAATGGTGATGATGCAATATAGTGAAAGCAATGATTTTTCAGATAGTGATTATGAAACATTGGGGGAAAAAATAAAATCCTACGGGTCAGTGTACTGTGTGCTCCCGTGAAAGAGATACCAGTGTAGAATGTCAGGTATCACTTTGTGTTGTCCCTTGTTTCAAAAACTATCGTACGAAGACTAGCATTTAACTTTTTTCTTTTGCTTGAGATAGATAACTCTGGATATTAAACTAATATTAAAACTAAATGCTTTTACACCTTCAAAAAATTAAAAATTCAACTTAAAACCTACATATTTTGATTTGTTTTGTTTCATTGTATTTAATAATAAAATAAAAAAATGTGATGATTTTTTGCAATTTTTCAAAAAAATTTGTAAGGGAAGTGGTTAAATATATGTAAATTTATAATGATAATAAATATTATCTAAATATATAATAACCATAACATTTAATTGTGAACATAAACTGAAATTGGCAAACATATTTATAAAACTATTTAAGCAAGAATTGTTCGTACTGGAAAAACAATCTATAGGGTGATCCTTTTAGAACTGGTCTGTTTCATTGGGCTGTAGTTATGTTAAAAAGTGTCTGATTTTAATGTGTTTTGTAGCAAAAGATTCAGAAAGGAGGGAAATTTAGTGGTCTGTCCTATTTTTTGATGTACTATGCCAAAAAAATAAGAAATGATGAAAACTGCAAAATGCCACACAAGGAGATGTGGTGTGTGCCGATAAAACATTGTTAAAAACTCTGATTGCGATGTAGCACACCAAAAGTGAAAAGGCAGTGCAGGATTTATGTGCAAGCTACACAAGCTATAGCTTAAGGCCCCTGCTTTCTTTGGGGGCTCTCAAAAAAACCCTCTACTGTATCTGAAAATCTGTATTTGGCACTCACATATAATATCCAGACTTATGAAGGGCCCCATATCTCAAATAGCTTAGGACCTTATCAAGTTTAAATTGGCCCTGAGTAGGTGTTGAAAACAACCACCAGTCCGGAATGGAACTCGCAGCTCCATGTTAGCTACAACACTCTGTAATGTATCATCAGTGATGTTTGCAGTTTCCCTAAAAGTGTTGGCCTTTAATTCGTTCAGTGTCCATGGTTTATCGCGGTTGACACAACCCTTCAGTGAAATTTCATGGAATATCACAGTTTTCATTAATTCTTCATTCTTTTTTGGCATTGCACATCAAAAAACACGATGGACCATTAAATTTTCCTCCTTCTTGAATATTTTGCCACAAATCGGATACTTTTTAACAGAACTACAACCCAATGAAATAGGCCAGTTCTAAAAGAATCGCCCTGTATTAAAAGGTGTTGTAAAGCACAGTATGTGAGATGTGTACTAAAGGAAGTAGTAAAGTAGAGTTTTTAGAATGTGTGTTGTTAATATCAAGGGTAAAGGAAAAAAAGTATTAAGAGAATTATTTCCTTACATTTTATTATAACTCAGTTACAAGTTTTAAATAATATTAACAAATCTCCCCCTTTTTTTTTAGCTCTTTCAGAGATACTCATAAAAGAACATAGATGGGAATTTGAAATCAGCAGCAGTTTAACGTATTTCGCTATTAAAATAAATGGTGAAATAATTTGAAATGAACCAAACAAAGCATTAATTATAGAATGACTATGATTTTTTATTTAAAGGATGCCTTGGAAGCTGAAAGTCATCTCATATTTGAGAAAGAATTTCAGAAAGAAGCTCTGTAAATATAAAAGAAATAATGCTTAATTTGTTTAATACAATAAACTTAACTTTTAATTTTTGTAATCATTAGCTGAATAAGATTGAATTACCTTAAAATGTGTTTCTAATGTAATTAATGAAAACTTGTGAAAAACCTGCCATTCAAGTTAAAACTGTTCCAGGAAAAGTATAGTATTTAATTCCATTCAGAATGAAATGTTTAAAAATGTATTCTTTCAATTGTAAAAATGTATACTAGGACTCCTGTGTACTTAGGACTGAAGTATTCTGAATACTTAGGACTGAAATTCGTCAATTATTATTTCTCATTATGATGGAATCAAAAGATTTAACAACCTTTTAGAATTCCGATTTAAAGAAATTTATGATTTGTCTCTGCTCTAGTTTTCACAATTTTATGAGCGAAATTAACAGTATCAAATAAACGTAAATCTATTTTAATGATAATTAAAAAAAAATAATTCAGATTCATTAAACTGGATAAATTGCAGTGATAAAAACAGAAGTGATATGCCACTATTGTAATGTTGCTGCTCTGAATTAAATGGTAGCTAGTGGAGATTGACTTCTAGCTCAAAAAAAAAATGAGTAGGCTTAACTTCCATGTAAGTCTTGACTGTATGTGATGTCACCTCCCTTCCTTCACAAGCATAATACAGTACAAAGTCCGTAATCCGGACTCGTAGGGATTTCGGCGATTCCGGATTAGGGGTTTTTTCAGATTATAGGTCATCAGTTTAAATCTGGTCAGATGGCATGCAGAAATTATACAATTAAAAATATGAAACTGTAATTTATGGAAATAATAGAAGCATCTATAATGTAAAGGGTATCAAAATTTACAAAACAAACAAAAAAAAAAAAAGCTTAATATTTATTCTGTTTAATTTATTAAACATTTCTTTGAATATAAATTGTTTAAATTGCTTCATTTTTTGTGCTTATACTTTCTTTTCAATTCTGTAAAACAGACATAATTTCTTGTTCAGTTACAAAAGTTCCACTGTTCAAGTTCCTGTAATTGCTGTGTCGAGAATACCGACTAACTTGTCAATCGAAATTTTTTCATTTTCAATAACCTCTCTGTCACTTTCTTCACTATCAGAAGCAGTATTTTCTGGATTCTGAACCATACTATTGATTTTACTATCCGTTAATTGATTGATGATTGGAGTATTGTCATCAGAAAATGAATGAAAAACTTCTGTTATAGCATCTTCATTTATTACCGCTTAAGGAACAGCACAATCTGCAACATTAACTGAAATGCCTTAGAATCAGTAAAGATAATTTTAGCCTAGCTTATACCGTCTGTTATACAATAAACGCACATGCATAAAGTATAAAAAAAAAGGTCTGTGGCTTTGAGGTCCGGATTATAGATTATTCCGGATATTGTACGTCTGGATTACGGACTTTGTACTGTATTAACCACTCCTGATGCACCTTGGCTGACATTGTCTGTGAAGAGATGGCTAAATGACCAGTGGTTAAGTCATACCTGATAAATGCTCAAGTGCTAGTCTGGCTGTTGAATTAAAAAAATTATGCTATTTTTCTTTGCCATGTGATTTCCATTTTTTATAGATATTGAAAAATCAAATTTTGCATAAAATAAGTTTCCTGTTGAAAAAAGACTTTGAATGCAAAAATGTACATTCCTTTCTTTTATAACAATATAACAGCTCTATACAGATTGTGGAAAGAATTATATTTTTAAGTGTCATAACCTTCATTAAACCCTTGTGCTTCCTGTTCTAGATAGTATTTTTTACATAGCAGAATAACTTTTAACATTTTTGTTTTTCTTTTAGATATAACCCATATGACAAGACAATTACAAAGGAATATTATGATTATGACAAAATGATGTCCATAAGGAAAACTGAGATTCAGCGAGCTGTTAGTGCTAATACCTTTGGAGTTATACTGGGTACTCTAGGAAGACAAGGTAGCCCAAAAGTATTAAATAACCTGATAATGATCCTTAAAAAAATGGATAAGCGTTATGTAGTTGTATTATTATCTGAAATTTTCCCAGAAAAACTTAAATTATTTACAAATATTGATGCTTGGGTTCAAATAGCATGTCCTAGATTATCTATTGACTGGGGAACTGCTTTTCCGAAACCACTGCTCACACCATATGAACTTGTGGTGGCTGTGAAGGAAATAGAATGGCAAAGTAAGTATCCTATGGATTTCTATGCTTCACAAAGCTTGGGTAATTGGACACCTAATCATAAAATCTCATCATTAAACTCAAAAATTGCATGTGGAAATTGTGCAGATTGTAGTTGTTGTACTGAAAAAGATTCAATAGAATAAAGTTATTTTAAGCTTTGTGAATCTGATTTCTTAATGAAGTACAATGGATTTTCCTGCTAATTGAAAATCATAGAACCTAGAAATTTTCTTGAATTATTGAAATTCATGTCTTCTTCACTGAAATTCTTCTGGATTTCACTTAGCTTTTATTTGAATTTACAGAAGTTTGCTGGATTTAATTTTTTAAATCCTTTTTAAAAACAAAAATTATACTGTTTTAATTGAGCTTGAATATTTAGAGAAGAAACCTGTTATTTATAAGTTTGTTTAAAAAAAGGTATTTCTCTTTTTTAAGAAACATTCTAAGCGTAAAAATAATCATAGATTATTGTTGAATTACTTAAGATATATCTTAAGTAAAACAAAAACACAATTTTCCACAAATCAAAATCTCAATAATTCAAAAGTTTTAATCTTTCTTTTCAGAATTTCCTTCAGTTGTGAAAAGCATTAACCCCATTAATCTACAGTGATGGGCATAGCCCGCGTACGATAGTCGGGCCAAACCTAACTTTCACGGGCATAGCCCGCGTGCGGTGATCTGGCCAGAAGTGAATATTATGTGGAATATTTGATACGCAATTACAGTCTGATGCAATAATTGTGGTAGACGCAAGTATTACATTACACAAAACTCCAAAATACAAAATTAGTAATCTGCTACGGTATGATATATTTCAAAGCATTCTAGTACATGTAAAAGAACTTTACACTTTTTACACTCGTGTTCTAAGTGTATTTTCTTGTACTTGATCTGCATACTGATTTTGTTTCGGTTACATTATTGTTCCAAAATATGTCATCAAATATTATATTAAATATATCAAATTCTTCTCTACTTCCTCCTAATTGACATAAGGCTTCCTCTCTTATGCTAGGAATCATCGTATAGTCCCAGATTTTTGGACTATTTCTTATTTCTTTCCAAAGCCAGGACTCTGGTAGTTGATCTTCATCGGGTGTATCATCAATAATTATTCGCCTATATTTTCTTCAAAAATTACATATTTCATCATGTTTATGATTGGCCCACCAACGGCCGAGCGGTAAAGACGCTGAACACTGGTAGTTCAGTCCGAGGTTCGAATCCCGCAAACGGGCTGGCTGCATGGGCGTTTTCGTGGTTTTGCCCATGTGTAACGTGTATACAAGCCAGTTTCCCTTAGAAAGTCCTCCACGAAGGCACCCCTCCCTTTAGGCAGATAGCCCTCGTGTGCTTTGCCATAATTAAATAATCTTATCCATCCAATCCATGTTTATAATTGCCCGGATTAGCGTGTTACGCAATTCGTGCAAATGTCCCAAACGCTGCGCGAGCTTGTATACAATTTTGACCCAACATCTTTGAATCTGAATCGTAGTTTAAGGGGTTAAAGTACAAAACCTGAATTAAATCGTTGAACCCATCTGTCCAGAAAATTGGCTAACTATACAGTTTTGATACAACTATCATTATAGCAGCTATATTCTAGCAATATACGTATATGATCATGCAGGGATTCTTTCATAATAGTTAAAAAAAGAAAGAAAGAATAAATTGCTGTGAGATTCAAAAACTAATTTATTAATTGAAGAATACTGTTAACAAATAATAAAATACTGAAAATAAAATGCCTAACAATTACCATGTTCTCACATATGTAAGTTGCACCCCTAATTTTTAACTCTAATTAAAAAATTTTAAAAAAGACTACCTTCTACAATATTTTATTAATTTTGGAGGTATGAAAGCAGTTAAAATGAAAACGGTACTCACCACACACTGAGGCAAAATGTTTGTTATTGGTAAAAAATAACATGTTTATGTATATCTCAGAGCATGTCATTCACGATATGCAACCACATCTAAACTTGTACAGTCCTAGGTAATGTTATTCCAACAACAATGGATTTTATACTCTGTCATTAATCTTTTCAGAACAATATGCATCATCCGCCAACTGTATCACACAACCGGATGTGTCATATATGAATTGCTGTTTAAATGCTTTGTTAGGATGTGTGCCCCACATATGAATTTTTAGATAGTATGTTTCATTAGCATACTTTGTATGCCAGTAGATGTAGCCTTGTATTTTTTAAACACTAGACCTACAGAAAATTTTCTGTGTCTGCAAACAAGATGGTAGTCAGTTTGATAGTTACCACAAAACATTTACCTCAAAAAAACATGAAAACTGTTTTGAGCATTCTATGAAGCAGAAAATAACAATGCAGTAATAAAATTGCTGTATAAATTATTTTTGTAATCTTAAAATAATAATGAATTTTATTAATCAAAGTGCAGAGATGTTGTTAGAATTGTCAAACATTGATACGAGTTATTTAAATACAAAATAAATAAAACATGAAAAAAGAGGTAGGTAAATGGTTTAGATTATTTTGATGAAAAGTCAATAAAATTTAAGCATTCTAGTAAAATTAATATGTATAATAATATGTATAATAATAAAAAAGATGCAAAGTTAATCCTTTTTAGCCAAGTTATATTCTAAAAGTTGATTTTACTTTCTTAATTATATTTTCTTCTTAATTCTTTATTTCTTCTTATAATTATATTTTCATATTTACACATCATCTGTTAAAATTTTATCTATATTCTGTTGCTGTGTATAGCATTCTCTCTAGTCTCATTGGTGACGCTTTAGCCATTTTAATGTTTTTCATTGGTGTGCTAGAAAAGGAAATAGCCTTTATTTCTATCATCCCTTGAAGTAATACATTATATTCAGGGCCTAAACTCATTTGGAGACCGATTAAGTTATTTCTCAGTTTTTGTGTGAAATCTAAATTTAAACAACAATGGCAAATAAGTCAATGTCCAGCACTTTATTTTATTATTTGACTATTTACAATTTATTTAATAACTTATTAAATTTTTATTTATCTCTTTACATTTCATTAAATTTTAATTATTGTAATCATTAGTTAATTATTTAAACTTTTTAATTAATTATTTTATTAGTCATTTTATTATTGATTGATTCTGTTTTCTGGCGGTCTTGCGTAGCATTCTGGCTGTGGAAATGGAGTGGCTTAATTTTTAGAAATTAAACCCTGTGTATAGTTACTAGCATCTACATCTACAGGTACAGTAATAATAATAACTATAATACAAAGACATTTTTATTCTTACCAGTTATACAGAAATGATGTACATTGGTAATTATACACATTAAATTTAAATTAAATTAATATATAAGCTATTAACAGAGGAACTACATCTTAAAAAAAAGATCCATTTTTAAGGTATGCAACAGCAAATAAGCACCTTCAAATAAAAATACAAAAAATAATCGAGTTCCCAGCAACTAAAGGACAAGAGTTATGTGCTCCCATGTAACACAATCCCTCCCACAACTAGTTATACTATAACAACGAAAAATACGATAGCGCTAATGGTCTGCAGAACTTCGTATGTGATAATTAAGTACCTTTTCTATCATAAAATAAATTAAAAATTCAAATTAATGTAACTGCACTACAGCATGCATATTCATAACAGTTAATGTTAAATAGAATTAATTTGGTAGAATTTTTATAATATGGACTTCAGCAAACTATGAGATTGCAACAAAATGAATGCAAATAATAAAATACTCTATGTAATTATATGCTATATGTAAAAGGAATTCCATGCAAGAAATGTAAGCATCATGGAACTGACTGAAACAACTGTAGAACTACAATCTGCAAAATACTGAATCAAACAAACATGTGAATAACCATATTCCATAACAATATGCAACAAATTTGTAACTACCGTATAAAATTAGTTGTATTACCATGTTGAAGTAATATTCATATACCACCATGCATAATGTAACTTTGCATAGGTAGATATGTATATATGCAGCACTCGGGACCTGCGGACGAGCCCCTAATGCACTGCTGGCAGTGGTAAGGCCTGGGGTGTAGCGTGATGCGGGCATCTTCTTTTCCAAGCTAGGCTTTTCGAGAAAGTTATTAGGAAGGGACAACACCTGGATCACCTATTAATAAATATCTGGTGTCCCCTCTACTTTTACCTATACCTATTATATACAATTACACTATTTACAAATCCTTTAACTCAGTGTTTCCCAAAGTGTGGTACGGGAAAAGTTTGATGGGAGTACACGTTACACCGAAGTTTGGTGGGGATATGCACTGCACCTTGCTTAGCTGCTCCTAATTCTATATTCTCAGGAGTTAGATCAAGATAGTCTTATGAGGCGTGAGATGGTTCGTTGTGACACGGCGGGAATATACCAAACTTCATGAATAGTTAGTGGCTTCTCTAAGCATCTGTGTATTTTTAGCTTTTGCATGATTTTTCTTATAGGAAATGTTTGTTATGTGCTTTAGAAAGTCCCACTGATTTTGATTATTTTTATAAAATATAATTTTTATGCCTAACATAGATTATGGATCACTGGTTAAAATCTGGAACTATTACAGCGAAAGAAAGTAATGATTATAGTTGCAATCAACTAACAGGAAATAATGCAATTAACGATGAATCAACTTCAGTTCTGAAAGAACCCGTTAAGAAAAGTCAAGGAAAATTCGAAAGTACGACAAAGAATATCTTAAATTTGGATTCTCATGGACTGGAGATGAAAATGAGCCTATTTTACTTTGCATCATTTGTTTTCAAATTCTAACAAACCAAAGCATGAAACCATCCAACTTAAAATGCCATTTTAAGACAAACCATAATCAGTACAAAGATAAAGCCATAGATTTTTTTGAAAATAAACAAAGATTTTAATCAGTCTCGAAAAGTAATGTGGGGTTTGACTGGAGGTGGCAGTCAAAAAATAGCTAGAAACTTTGTATCGCAGTCGCTTTTAATTGCGAAATGTAGTGCAGCGGAAACCATTGGCGAAATTTTAATCAAGCCAGCAGCCAAAATAATGGCAGAAATACTGATAGGAGATTAGAGTGAAACAAACTTTTGACCGTGTTTCTCTCTCAAATAATCGATGAATCATTAATATGTTTAATAAGTTAAATAAATGTTATTATCTGATATTTCT